GTGAGCCGAGATCGCGCCATTGCACTCCAGCCTGGGTAACATGAGTGAAACTCTGGCTCAAAACAAAAAAATTATGAAATATGAGCAACAAAATAAAAGGCATGTATAATCTGTATATCACTTTGGGTACTATGGATATTTTAACAATATTGATTCTTGTAAATCCATCAATACAGGGTATCTTCCATTTATTTGCATCTTCCTCAAGTTATTTTGTTAGTGTTTTGTAGCTTTCAGTGCACAAATATTTCACATCCTTGATTTTTTTCTCAAGTATGTTCCTCTTTTTTTCTTTGACATGCAAATTTTCTTTCCTTTAGATATATACACAGAAGTGGGGTAGCTAATAGTCCTATTTTAATTTCTTAAGGAACCTCCACAGTGTTTTTCATAATGGCTGTACAACTTTTCTTTTTTTCTTTTTTTTGAGATGGAGTCTTGCTCTGTCGCCAGGCTGGAGCACAGTGGTGCAATTTCGACTCACTGCAACCTCTGCCTCTCAGGTTCGAGCGATTCTTCCACCTCAGCCTCCCGAGTAGCTGGAACTACAGCCGTGTGCCAAATGCCGGCTAATTTTTCTATTTTTAGTAGAGACAGAGTTTTGCCATGTTGGCCAGGATGGTCTCGACCTGTTGACCTCGTGATCCACCCTCCTCGGCCTCCCAAAGTGCTGGGATTACAGGCGTGAGCCACCGCACCTGGCCCCAAATTTTCATCTTTACCAACAGTGTACAGCGTTCCCTTTCCCCACATTCTTGCCAATACTTGTTATCTTTCTTTTTTTGGATAATAGTCATTCTAAAGGTGTGACGTGATATCCCATTGTGGTTTTGATTTGCATTTCTCCAGTGATTAGTGATGTTGATCACCTTTTCACATACTCATTGGCCATTTGTGTGTCTCATTTTGAAAAATACCTGTTCAGGTCCTTTACGAAAAATACCTGTTCAGGTCCTTTACAAATATGGAGTGCTTCTTGAATTTTATGTTATCTTTACGCAGAGGCCATGCTAATCTCTGTATCATTCAAATTTTAGTGTATGTGCTGCTGAAGTGATCACAAGTATTTTATTCTTTTTAGTACTAATGTAAATAGGATTTTTATATTTCTTTTTCAGATAGGTTATTATTGATATAAAGAAATAAAACTAACTTTTGTATGTTGACTTTCGTATCTTCTAATTTCACTGAATTCATTTATTAGCTCTAACAGTTTTTTAATGCATCTTTGGGAGTTTCAACATGTAGAATCATGTCATCTGCAAAACAAACATAGCTTTACTTGTTCCTTTCCAATTTGGATGACTTTTAAACTTTTTGTTGTTTGATGCTTTTGCTAGTACTTTCAGTACTATGTGAAGTGGCAAGAATGGGAACCCTTGTCTTGTTTATAACCTTAGGGAAAAATATTTCAACTTTCACCCTTGAGTATGATGTTAATTTTGGCCTTGTCACATATGGCCTTTATTGTGATGAGGTTCGTTCCTTCTATATTTACTTTGTTGAGACTTTTTATCATAAAAGGGTGTTAAATTTAGTCAAATGCTTTTTGTACATCTATTGAAATGTTCAGGTGATTTTTATCATTCATTGTATTAATGTGATGTATTACATCAATTGATTTGCATATATTAAACCAATATTGCATCCTAGGAATAAATCTCACTTGGTCATGAGATATATATATATATATACTTTTTTTGAAACATTGTTGAATTTGCAATCAAAATTCCAATGGCATTTTTCTTAGAAATAGAAACCCTCAATCAAAATTCCAGTGATACTTTTCATAGATATAGAAAAAAAAATTCCAAAATTTATATGGAATTTCAAAAGACCCTGAATAGCCAAAGGCATCTTAGAAAAAAAGACAAAGTTGAAGGCATCATATGCTCTGATTTCAAATTCTACTATAGAGTTATAGTGATCAAAACAGTATGGACTTGAATAAAAACAGATATTTAGACCAATGAAACAGAATAGAGGGCCTAGAAGTAAACATATACGGTTAACTAATTTTCAATCAGGGCACCAAGAAGATACAATGGAGAAAAAAAGAACTAAACAGAAACTTTTCCAAAGGAAAAAACAAAGGCCTACAAGTAGATAAAAAGGTGCTTAATATCTCTAATGATTAAGGAAATGCAAATCAAAACCACGGAGCTATGACCTGGCACCTGTTAGTGGTGATTGCTAGGGGCAAGGGAGCAGGGGAAGTTAAGAGATATTAATTAAAGGTAAAAAGTTGTTATATAGGATGAATAAGCCTAGAGATCTAATGTACAGCATAAGGAATATACTTAATAATACTGTATTGTCTACTCAAAATTTGTTAAAAGAGTAGATTTCAGATACTACTATCAAAGGAAAAAAGAAAAAAAAGACAGCTATGTGAGATGATAGATACGTTTGCTAATTTGCTTTACTGAGGTAACCATTTCACTATGTATATGTGTATCAAAACCTCATTATACATGCCTTAAGTTTACACAATTAAAAAATGCATGGGAACAAAGAAACATGTACAATGGTTTGAAGGCAACTGATTGTAACTAACAAAGCAGGTGAGGTCCTCACTCTAGCTTTTTCACTGTGGGCAGTTTTCAATTTTTTATGTGTGGATGAAGAGTACAGAAGGAAAGAGGCAGTGGAGCAAGGCCACTGAAGCCCATGTTGAGTCTCAGAGCTTTCAAGATTGTGAGGACTTGAAAGGTAAAATCCCAAGAAATACATTTTGATCTTTTCCTCTCAAAATAATTCCCTTGACTCTATTTACCTTAAACAGCATCCATGAAAGTACACATCTTGGATGTTCTTAAAAAAAAATATTGGAGAGTGTACTTAGTTCACAGCTCTCAGCTGCAGCACCTTGAGGTTTTCCTAAGTTGTCTGAGACAAGGCTCTGCGTTTTGTAGCCAGACCTCAGACAGAGACTTAGCATGGTGGGGGTAGTCAGGGTTGGCCATTTTTTGTATAGTCTGAGACTCCCGTCTAGATAATAATTTCACCAGATCTCTCTGATGGGGTGGCTGGGACTTTCTAAGCTGTACTGCAGTCTGAAGCTCTTACTATCTAAACTTCCTTTCTTTCCCCTCTCTTTTCATAGGTCTTAGGCCTGCATCATGGCCGGAGGGTTCTCTCTGTCTAGTTCTGCTTCCTTTTCCATTGATATGCCACAGGAGGTACTAAAAATAAATCCATTTCACTTCTAACTCTATCTCAGTAGCTGTTTTCTGGAGGCCCAATTGACGTGACCCACCAATTATTGCTTCAATTCTTTGTTCCCTTTTGTAAGAAAATGTCTTGAAATAGTTGTTAAAGTCACTGTCTGTAAGTCCTCTCCTCCCATTGGCTTTTAATTCACTTCAATCACACTTTAACAACCCCACTACCACTTGCTACACGTACACAAATGCATGCACTACTTGGAAACTGCTCTCTTTAACATCATTACAGAGTACTTCTCCATTGCTAAGTCTAAGGATCAATTCTCAGTCATCAGCTGATTTGCCAGAGTTAATCACTCCCTCCACCTTGATTTGATGTGCATTTTTCACTTGACTTCCAGGACTTCATCTCTCTCTCTCTCTTTCTCTCCTCTGTCTCTTCCCTCTCTTCCCCTGTCCCTCTTTCTCTGTGACTCTCTTATTCTCACTTCCACTCTCACCCTTTTTATTCTCATAGCATAGTGGCAACTCCTTCTAAGTATTCATTATGATTCTTTTTCTTAAGGTGAGAGTGCCCAGAGCTCAACCCTTGGACCTCTTTTCTTGCTTTATTGACATTTTCTAGGCGATTTGAGTCCAATGAAATACTGATAACTTCCAACCAACCGAGCCCTCTCTTTCCTCAAACTCCACACTCATATGCCCATGTGCTGTCCACTTGGAGGTCTGAAAGACCCCTCAAACTCAAAATGCCCCATCTTCTTCCTACTCCTCGGCTCTCCCCCTCTTAGGCTATGATAATTACGTCTTTCAAACTGTTCAGGCCCCACACCCTTCAAACTACTTTTTCTCACAGTCTGCATCCAATCCTTTTAGCACTACTTTCAAAATATCCAGACTGTGTCCAGAATTGGTCCATTCTTTACCTCCTCTACCAATACTCTTCTGGTCTCAGACACTGTCATTTCTCCCCTGGATAATCAGTCACCTTTCCTAGACTCACTTCTTGCCCCCATCTGTAGTCCCTTCTCAGTAGAACAGCCAGTGAGAGCTTGCAAAAGTGCAAATTGAATTATGTTACTTCTCTACCCAAAATGCTCCACTGGCTTCTAATTTTACTTAACGTCAAAACCAGTGTCCCTCCCAAGGCCATAGGTCCCCCAATATCCTCCTCTTCCAACTCCTGATGTCCTCCCCTACATCACTCTCCTTCAGCCACATTGCTTTTCTGGCCATTTTCCCAATGCACCAGGAATCCTCCTGCGATAGGGCCTTCTCTAGCTGTTTCTCTGACTTGACTACTTTTCCATGAGAACAATCCTTAATAGCCTATGTATTAACACTACAAGAGCACCACTCCCGAATTCTCCCCCTTAATCTCTTCGACTTACAACACTTATTACTATTTAGCCTACTGTAAAATTATCTTAGTCATTATGTTTACCCTTTATTACCTATTGGTAGTTTATTGATGGATAAATATGTCAGACTGAATGATTATTCCAGAAATTCTTCTTCAGTGCTGAAAGCAAGTACCCCAGATTAATAATGCACAAAACGGTTCAAGTAAGGGAGAAGTAAGCTGCATGCAAACAGGGACATTTGGCCCTTTTGTTCTCTTCCATATTTTGTGTCTGGTAGATAGTAGATGCTTGGTAAATATTTAGTTTAATGAATGAAAAGTTGTTAACCTAAGGGCTCTAATCAAGATGGCTAAATAGCAGATGAATATGGCCAAAAGAGTCTGACCAAAGACTCTTCCACGAATGCATAGGTCATGGGCTTGTCCTTTCTATGTGGCCTCATCATCTCCAAATAAACGTCCTCAGCAGGCAACATCTGTTGTCTCTCTAGCTTTTTCTAAGATAATTTCATGATATAGTATTAGTCTGGCATTAAACATACCTGAAGCTTCTAAATAAAGTAATACATATTTTTGCTGTGTCTATTGGTTATTCAAGAAATAATAACCTTTCCTCATTACTGCCAGATACATAAAATTTGCCAGAAGTAAAGATATCATAAATGACAGTGTAGTAAGTGCTTTTATGTTGAAAATTGCACAACTTTGAAAATTCGAGAGCATTTAGCACAATTTTGAAATAATGATAATGACATCACCTTTTTTTAGGGATGAAGTAAGGATTAGACGAATCTACATGTGGGAGCCTTGGTCTGTTTCTTGGAACATAGCAGGACTTTCACACATTAATGTCATTTCATTCCCATAGGAATAAAAAAAGATATCTGTACTACTCCCTACCCCAAACCCTTGGATACCATGCTCTTCTTTGCAGGGAGGCTTCTTAGGATGATAATTTATTTCATTGCACATGTCCTTCCTTTTTCATTTGCTACTGGTAATTACATTTGTCATTTGTTACTAATTATATTTCCTCCATATTTTATCCTTGAAGTGTGCCATAGGCTGCCTATGTTTTTCTCTGTTCCTTCCTTACTTTGAACTTGGTATTATAGTGGAGCCCATTCATTTGTTTATTCATTAATTTAGTCAGTCCTAATATACATATTTACTGTGAACCTACTCTGTGTCTGGCTCTGCGTTAAACTTTGGAGATGAAAATACAAAGATACGGTTCACGTCTTTCAGGGTTTTCTAGTCTAGAGGAGGAAAAAAGGCAGACATTATAGATACATGAAACATTTCAGACATCACAGAAGAATTACAAAATGTGATAAAGAACTCAAGGAATTCAAAAACAAAAATTGAAATTGCCTAATTCTGTCTGGGGCTGAACACTCAGAGAAAGCTTGATTTGAACCACAATTGGAAGAGTCAGTGCTTTGCCACAGTGATCAAGAATGGGAGCGTTGGAGAGGGGAGAGGAAAATGAAGGTAAAGGTATGTTAGTATGAAAAGCTTGTCACCTGGG